CAGAGCAGGACAGCAGAGCCAGCAAACTCTCCACCTCCGCTTTTCAACTCCCTTTCCTCACCTCTCTCCATTCCTCTAACCCATCCTGTCCGCTGGTCTGTGATTTCATCCTTTTACCTTCTTCTGCTCTACTCTAATTACTATAGTTCGTCAAATGATTAGACGATCAACAACATCTTCATAATCATGAAATGGTTTCGCAGAGATGGCAAGGTGGAGATGCGACAGATCCCGACACACCTCATGTGACTTTTGAATGATTTTAAATGCTTCTATACTGGTGAGAATACGATTCCTAAATTTTAGTGCCAAAACCAACACCACGACGCCTTCAATACCTAACCTTAATTGACCCTTCGCTAAGTCCAGATTTCCTTCATTTTCAGGCTGGTTTTGTGGATTTGGAGCTAAATGTTGTGCCTGGGGCACGTCGTGTATTAATGATACTCATCTGCCTCTCTCTGGAATCACTGTTTCATTTTAACAAAAATATAATAATATTTCTTCAGGGAGTGCAGTTAGTTACAGTGTGGGCTCCATGCTTACTGCGACAGCTTGACAGACCATCGCAAAGAGGCGGAGCTTAAGGAAAGGTCAATTGATACAAGCATCCTCGATCTAATCCTTTGTTTCATGGAACACGTTTCCAATATTCTTTACTCATCCCTTGTCATCAACTCATCATCATGACTAGATGGCCACCTACTAGGGATGCACCGTATATATTCGGCCGAATATTGCAAAACAAAACACACATTCGGTTTTCGGTGGAATAAGTGAAAAGCAAGGCCAAATAATAACGGCGTGTTTTGAATCAAACAGCGTGCGGTGAAAGACGGAGTAAAATCAAAGATACTGGATTAAAATGTCGGCAGTGCGGCAATATTTCAAAGTGTTGGAGAGTGATAGAAGAAAAGCGATTTGCAAAGAATGTAATACTGAACTATCTAGAGTAGTGTTGCAGGGTATACTGGTACCAATGGTAGACCGCGGTACTAAAACACAGTGATTTGTTTTCCACAGAGCTCTACGGTGCGAGCATTTTACTCGCATTTGGGACTAAAAATAGTTTTGTGCGAGCAAAATAAATCATTCAGGAGCAGCTGTGCGAGTACAGATTTCAACCAGCAGCAGAAACGAAAGGCGAATCCTGCCGGTTGTGGGTTGAACGGGGGTCACAGACACAGACAGGAATGTATTCCTGTCAAATACGGCAGCCATAGTGCCCCGCAGTGCAAGATAACGGCTTACCGGCGACGGAGAAGCCCGGCTCCAGGTCCAATAATGTCCTCTTCTTGGCATCATGACTGCCCAAAAGTACCTGGACAGCCGAGCCGTGGCGGCACACAGGTATGTGACGTGTCAGAGGAGAAACGAGCCGTTCACATTTCTCTCTTTGTGGAAGGTAACGGCCCACAAACCTCACCGCACTTTAGGGACTGTTCTTTACTCATGAAGGGACTTGTCAGGGGAGGAGGGTGGCTGGTTGATTTTTATTTTATTTATTTATTTTATTTTGATCCCCCCTATGTTAATCACTTATTGATGCTGTTTTTGAAGTATGAATAAGTCATTAAGTAATTTATTCCACTGAAATATCATTGATGTATTATAGAAAAGTGATTTGTCTTTTTATAAATGACAAAAGGCACATCTGCCTCATTTTCGCTGTGGTATCGTGATACTACTCAGAACTGTGATACTTTCACTGGTATCGTACTGTGGGTCCCAATTTTGGTACAGTGACAAAAATAATCTGGAGGGGGTTCATCTGCAAAAACTAATAAAAAACTAAACAACTGCATTCGGTATTTGGTACTTGGTATTTGGCGAAGCGTTTAATATTATTCGACTTCGGCCACAAATTTTCATTTCGGCGCATCCCTACCACCTACACATACTCATTAAAAGGTGACATTTGCTTTGCTATTGCTCCCTGAAAATTAGTGTTTCATATCAAGAGTGTGCTCATATTTTTACACTAACAAAGGCGCTCCTCATTGCTGGCGAGGTGACCCATCTCTGCTACAAAACACTGCTGCAAACTCATTCAGGCCTTTTATCAAGTAAAAATGCCAAATATTCACCACTTTCAGCATCTCAAATGTGAGGTGGTGCTGCTTTTATCTGGTTCGGAGCATTTTAAATTAAATACCTTTGGCTTTTGGAATTTTAGTTGGACAACACAAGCAATTTAAAAATGTAACCTTGAGTTCTAGTGAAGTGCAGAGGACATTTTTTAATGATGTAAATATTTGCCGCCCACCTCTTTTGCTTGTGTTCGACTGTCATCATCCCCTTTCTTTTCTTCTTCTTTGTTCGGCTGCAGAAGCTAAAACCAACCAACCCCACTCGAGAAGGGAGCTTTTTGGACAGTTGCCCAGCTGTCCGCTTCGTACAGAGGCACTGTCTTAGTTTAGTGCTGCTCGGAAGGATCATCATGCAAGTTGAATATTTCATCCCATCCCCACTGGGGACGGGATGAAATGAGCAGTGGGACCTAATGTGATCTAATGAGCAGTGATGCCTTCAGTGGAACAACATCAGAGGGTCTGAGTCGACCTGTGAGTCCAATCAATAGTCGATTGGTAAATGAGGAGGGTTCAGTGGGGATCGCGGGAGTGGGTGAGGGGTCTTTGTGTCCCAGACGACATCATTAAACCGTACAACACACTCTCCAGCATGCCATTAAACCAACTCAGTCCATTACTGGAAGAGGCCACTAGACTAAGCTGAGAAAGGCATCTTGACCTCACACACATGTCGGAGACCCTCTCTCTCTCTCACACACACACATACACACGCACACACAACAGGCAGAGTAAATCGTAGCCCTGGGTCACCTACTGTCAGCTGAGACCGGCGGCTGGTCTTTATAATGCCACTCACAATACACAGCTTAGAAAATTATAGCCTTTAGCACTTTGTTCATCTTTCCATGAACCCATAATGTATATCTTATAACATAATAGTCAGGAAAATAAACAGCTGATGTGTCAGGACGAGAGTGATTTATCACTTTGCCAACATTTGTGGTCGATGTGATAAACGTTTTAATTCTTGACCCACTGGAATTTCATTTTTGCTTTGAACGTTTTATTTAATCAATTATTTGTTCACAGATATATGTATCCATGTTGGTTTTTATAATGGCTCCTGGAGTTTCCCAACCACTGGATAGCTGTGGTATGAGATCCTGTCTTCAAGAGCCACCAGCCCTAAAATAATGTCATTAGGGCGAGCCTGACTGTCACTGACTGTGTCACATGAGGGTTTAAATGCTTCTACAGAGGATTTTCCACCCTGACAAAATAAAAGACTCACAGTATAAAATGATACGTTCAGAATTCCTGGCATGATAATGGTCAAATTTAAAGATCTTGAATAGAAACATAATTTATCAGGCATCTGCTTGAGCTGTATGTTCTGTGCCAGGCTGGAAAATGCCAACAGCAGCAGCTCACGCTCGTGCACAGCAGACGACGATGTGTTCAAGACACGATACAGGCCCGGTAGACTTAATTGCTTTATGACAGAACAAGTCCATTATCAAACGAGCTCGGCCCCCCGCCCCAGATAAAGAGTGGAGGCGGGGGAAAACGTTGATAACTACATCTGAGAGGATGAAAGACCCAACTATAAATAGGATGTGGATCATCCAGGGGGGGCTTTTGTTTTCGATTGGATATTGAATCTTATCTGGCTGACATTTTGGAGACAGTCTCCTGGTGACATTTAGAAGTTGTCACAATTACAGCAACCTGCTTTTGAGGTCCAACCAGCCAATTACAGATATCATACTAGCCGTCCTGTCGGGTAAATCTTTCCGTGTCATGTCAGAGGGCACAGCACCCGTGTGTGTGTGTGTGTGACTGTGTGACTGTGTGTGTGCTTAGTCTGCTGTGTGTGTGTGTCTCTGTGTGTGTTTAGAAATAGCTTACGTAGGGTCCTCGCATTCCAGCGGCTGTTCTAACATGTTGTAAATACAAGGTGTTAGAGAAAACATAGGAAGGGGGTGGTGGAAATCACTCAGACCTATTACAAGTGCTGCTGGGGGGCGTGGGGGGACAGGATGTAGGTTATCATAGATAAACAACCCAGTTCACCTGCAATCACAGTCCGGAGCAATGTGCTTTACAACTGCAAAAATAAAGGCTGCATCCACCGTCGTTCCTATCATGTCCCAAGGACACAGTCAGTGGATCATTTGAATAACAGAGACAAGTAAAAAGTGTATTTTTACAGAACTGTGCAGAACTTTGTGCCAGATTATAACCCATGCAGGAGCACAAAATAAATCACAGTGTCTCTCGTACATGCTCAGCTTCTAGGCATCTGCAATAAGCCACAACTTAAAACAAAATTCTGACTGATTCAACATTTAAGGTCTTCTGCATGGAGGTGGAGATCTGACAGGACATCAGGCACATGCACGCACCCCTCATACTGTAATACACACAACCTAACCTGCATGTAGCAGCTAAAAACAGTTGCAAAACCTTCCAAAAACCTAAAAAAAAAAAACAGTTCAACGCACTAAAATAATCTAATACCAATATACTTAAGGTGTAGCTGGCATGCAGGATAAGTGAGGCACAGACTGCAATAAAAAAGATTCAAGACTACAAAACATAAGTGTCAAAATTATAAAATTAAAAGCAGAATTCTTGTCAAGTTTAATCAAACCTGAGAGCTACACACAAGCATGTTGTCAAACAAGACTTAAAGAAAGAAAGAATGAACACAGACACATTTTCCACTACAGTTTCCATTTCAGCCACCTAATTTGCGCTCTCTAATAAAGGGGGAAAGTTGGCTGCTGAGTTCCTCCGTCTGAATGTGCGAGTCAGCCCAATGCACAGAGCTGATAAGGGCACAGAAATACTACTAACAAACAAACAGCGGCGGTGCACACAAACACCTCTACACCTCTTCCACAAACACGCTCACATGCAGCTTCAACTTCACTTTGCTGCGTTTCCAAACGGACATTTTCTTACCTGGACTCCGGCTGAGCAGCAAAGTTACCAGGGAGCCCCACAGCACCGCGGCCAGCTGCATCTTGTACCCCGCTTTTCTCTCGCGTCTCCGGGCTTCCCTTTCCCTTTTCCCCCCTCTCTCCTTCCTCCTCCTCTTCTTCTTCTCCTTCTTCTTCTTCTCACAGTTAAATATCAACGGGCTTCTGTTGCAAGTCAGACGCTCCCGGCTCTCGCGCTAACCTCATACCATGACTGAGTTCTTTGCCTCTTTTCTCTCACCGACCTCCTCCGCCTCCTCCTCTTGTGTGTGATAACGCGACAAAACCGGGATTAAAAAGTTAACTCTGAGGGGAACAGGCTGCCTGTGGTCTCCAACATGTTGTGCTCCAGTTCCTGACGCTGTAGCTACCAAAAGGAGCTGTGGGTTGTACCAAACGCAAGCAGAGGGGGGGCGAGCTGTGTCCACCGCCGTGTATTTAATCTAACTTGTGCGTAATTGCGCGCCAGTAACAAATCTTTAACACTTTACGCATTATAAAACACAAAACAAACACTAAACATCCCAAATGTGTTGTTTCTGAAGTTGTATTTTCCTCACCGCTCTCCCAACTTCCCTTTCCCACAAGAAGTCGTCGCGTCCAAAATCTCTGTTCTCTCGTTGTGTCCTTTCTTAAATTACAATGTCTTTTTTAAAGAGGCTGGTGGTCAGCAAATCAAAGGATAAATTCAGACAGCATCTGGAGGCATGAGTAAATTGTTTGTGCTTCCCCCCACAGCACGGAAAATTTTATTTTGCCCCTCTCATTCTGCTTTTCTTTCTTACACAATGTGGGTTTTAAGAAGAAGAAGAAGGAGAAGAAGAAGAAGAAGAAGGAGAAGAAGAAGAGGGGGAAAAACTTCTCTGTTGTCACTTAAGTCAATGGAGGCAAATGACAGAGCAGTGGTTTCCACAGTGGGCTGTAATGACCATGAGATGAGGTCATTACACAGCCATTATTCAGTACCACAGATTTACAAAAAGTTACTGGATGGATATTATGGTTCATATTAAAATGTAATTAAGTCTAAAAGGGTCACATGTTTTTTTTACCCCACCATTACAAGACATTCAGGGATGATAAAGCCGAGTTACACCACAAGTTTATGCATACAGCTCAGTCCAAAAAGTTACTTTAAGGTTATTATTCACTTTGACACACACTATGGAATTATGATAGAGATTCAGACAGACATAAAACAATTTTTAAGAACAATGAAGTCACTGAAAAGTTGCTAGTTAATACTGGAGACAAGCTCCGATTGGAGCATTATGTCAACACCAGGGGTCTCATTTATAAATGTTGCGTATGCACAAAACGAAAAGTTGTGATCTATAAAAACAGACTTGACGGGAGAAACTTTGAACCAAGGTTACAAACATTTTGGAGACAGGAGAAATTGTTAAACATATTAACATATTTTGGCGTGTGCCATTTTTGGCTTTTGGTGTACATTTTTAGAATGGATTCTACGCACTGTTTTATAGATGAGACCCAGGAGCTTAAAGGGACAGTTCACCCCAGGATCAAAAATACATATTATTCGTCTCAGCTGTAGTGCTGTATATCAGTCTTGGTTGTTTTGATGTGAGTTGCCAAGTGTTGGAGATATCAGCCATAGAGATGTCTGCCTTCTCTCCAGTATAATGGAACAAGATGGTGCTCGGAAAAAAAAACATCTGAAAAACTCAACAGCAAAGTCTTTTCCCAGAAATCATGACATGGTTACTCAAGCTAATTGTTGTGAGTTGTTTCATGTAGAGACTCTTTTCAAAACTATTTTGTTGCAGAAGGAAGCGTGCGTTCTCTGCTAGATCACCGAGCACCACTGAGCCAATGTTAGCTATGTTACAGCTCAGATGAGAGGGACGCCATTAATGTTCACATTTAGTGCTGTTACAAGCATGAGCATCTCATCCATGAGTAAATACACTCTTTTTCTGCGTGGTGGCACAGTTGACAGGTGTAGTGCATTCATTCATTCATTTTCCGTAATCCTGTTAGAGTTCGCGGGGGGGTGGAGTCTATCCCAGCTGACATTGGAGGCGAGAGGCAGGGTACACCCTGGACAGGTCGCTGACACACATAGACCATTCACGCTCACATTCACACCTACGACCATTTTAGAGTCACCAGTTAACCTAAACTGCATGTCTTTGGACTGTGGGAGGAAGCTGGAGTACCTGGAGGAAACCCAACCCAAACTCCTGAGGCGACAATGCTAACCACTGCACCACGGTGGCACCCACAGGTGTAGTTTTGTAGAAAGAAGATAGTTCCTACATGAAGCTGCTCACAACACAGTCAGGATTTCTCATTGCTGTTGAGTTTTCCAAATGTATTTTTTTGCGCTTCACGCACCACAATCCAAATGCCATTGATTTCCATTATATTCAAGAGAAGGCAGGCATCTGTGCGGCTGATATCTCCAATAACTGGCAACTCACGCCAAAACAATCTAGATTATTTAACAGCATTGGTAAGAGTAAAATGTGTATTTTAGCTTTTCTGGTGAACTGTCCCTTTAAAATTGAGAATGAAAGAGAGATTGAGATTGAAAATCATATAAAGCCACCACAGTCTTACTGTTAGGGATCAGAGATATATGATACATATCATATTGATATAGGAATAGCCAAGTGTAAAGCACCACAACAGATAGACAAACAATATACCTTGAGTATTGAGTAAGCATGAACTAAGTACTATAGCCTACATCATAACTTCCCACAAGAATGCTAGTATGAGGGTGTGTGAGACTAAACAAGTACATTAAGTCCCATAAAGTCAAACTCCAAGGCCTTCCAAGGGTCATCAAAGAATTTTTTGGCCAGTTTCATATGGCCAGTAGTCAATAATAAAGCCATAAATAATAAACAATAAACTTGAACAACATGCATACAACAGCAACATAATATACAGTGTGGTGCAACTACTGAGTCATATCCAGAGAACAAAAAAATCTTGTCTTAAAAATATTTATTTCAGGTGTAAAATCATGTTAAAGTTTAAGAATTCTTGATACAAACAGTAGTACATGTTCACAGTGCTGGTAAAGGAAAATAATCTCTTCTCCCTTGAGAGTATTTTAGTGCGAACAGAAAAGAAATATCACAGTAAATCTGACGTTTTCAACCCTAATTCGATCCACCTTTGTATGTGGCCCCAAATTTGATGCATGACAGATCTGTGGCAGCGCTGACTCAGCAGTCATAGTGAGATTTGTGTGACTTTTGTGTCAGTTCAACCTGACATTCATTATGTTACTGCACTTGTGCCTGAGTGTGGAGAGTGTTGGCAGAGGGAAATAACTGTGACGGCGGTGTGCGGGCGCACAGAGACCGTGAGCTGTTTAGGAGGAAAGCTTCAGGGTGGGTGCAACAGTGAATGTGGTTTTAAAGTCAATGCGAAGTCCAGAGTCTTAACGTTACATCTTGGAGCGCTTACAGTGAGTCTCCAACCGAACACAAGACTCTTATGGGCACCTGTGAGCGTGCAGGTCGGCTCAGGAGCATGACATCACGGTTGGCCACAGTTGAAAACAAAACATGCTCAGCTGTGATTTCACAGATCACAGCTGAGCCTGCAAAGTGAATGTTACTGTGGTATAATGATTATCCATAAAGATGTGTTGTTGTCTGTGCTGCTAATTGGCAACTATTGATAGTAATAATGAGTTTGTCATGGTCTCTCTGGCATTATTACACAACAGCTTGTAGATTTTAATTATGATATAATTTTAAGCGCACCATCTAATTTTCTATCCTTATAAAATGGGTGAATAACTAGCATGGCTGCTCCACAGTCTACACATTTATATCGCTCCTCTTTCTCTGAAAGGAGCCTTTAGACCCTACTTTCTAATTATGAGCCCGCCTCAGTTTGGATGTGAGCTCCATCGTCTCTAAACAGGACATCATCATTCAGCACACGGCTCCCCTCCACGCTCCTGCGGAGCATCCATCAGAGTATTACATTTCATCCCACTAAAAGTGGTCTGCACTGTCACTTATTCATGATTTGATACAGAGCGTTTTAATAAACAATGCTTTGGACAAAGAACTGTAGTGGTCTCTTAAAAAAAATCATGAACAATTTTCAGATTTATTATCCATGTTTTATCCATTATACCATTTCATTATGTCCCTGCACATAGTATCCCATAAGAGGAATAATATGTACGAAACACAAATACTATTAAGAACAGTACAGTACCACATTATTTACTCATTTTTAAGTGCCTTAGACACCATCTAAGACCCTGTGTTCCTATTAGAGTATCTTATGGATGCTTTTTAAACAGGAAATATGACAGAAAAATACCTTAAAGTTACAATACTGAGTAGGATTTAGGGAACTATATTGGCAAATATTAATAAAATATTAAAGACCATGTTCTCTTTAGTGTATAATCATCTGAAAGTAAGTAAGGGTGCTTTCAGACCTAGAGATCACTTGCTTTGGTGCGAATCAGGGTGTTATTTTACTACAAAGAAATACAAAGACAAAATGCCTTGTGTGAGAAAGCTGCTCTTGATTGGTCAGAATTTCCATGCGGGAAAAATCCAGGAAGTAAAGCAAACATTGAAGAAGAGTACACTTGCAAGATAAATGTGACACTTTCTAATGTCACAATGGAGGGACAACTACGCAGGTTGATTTTAGCGCTGCTCATCGTGGACTATATTGCTGTCATTGTTCATTTTAGTCAAACCATACAGTTTGAAAACGAGGCGCGGCTCCAACTAGAAAACAATGTTTTGATGCATTGGATGTGCTGAATGTGCATATTAAGGCAGTACAGGAGGAGGTGCACATTAATAATCCTCCAGGACTGTAACATGCTCATGTTGAACCCAAACAATGTGTCATGTGACTGCAGTTGCTTCAGATCCAGGTTGGAACACCTTCTCACCACAATCCAACCGCACCAGAGTTCGTTTGTAACTGGACTGAGACCACCTCTTCAAGAAGGTCTCAGTCCGGTTGTTTTGATGCACACCTGAGTGTGATTGCTGTGTTCACATCTGCCCAAACGAACCGCACTGAGGGGGCAAACAATCTTGAGTTTGACTGAACCAAACCTAACAGGGCAGGTGTGAAAGCACCCTAAGAGTCACTGTGTTTTTGTTACCTTCAAATGAGCTGCTTAAATAGACATAAGGAGCAGGTCCTCTTCTATGGAGTCCGCCATGTTGTTCTACAGTAGCCCAGGGAGAACAAATGAAACACTGACTCTAAATAGGGCCATTTGCGTTTTTGCATCAGCCACTGTAGCTCTCCCACACACTTGGCACACGGGGGACGTTTCACATGGTGGTGATCTCACCAC